ATGAGAAGGGGAGAGGACAGGGGCAACCAAAGGCAGACAAAATACCACTTCTTACACCTTCAGATGTAGAAGGCAGAGGTTAGTCATTGCCAATTAGTTATGGCCTGGGGAAGTTCCTTTAATCACCTCAGGTTGTTAATCTATAAAGTTGCACTTCCATCTGTGTTTCCTATGATGGGTCCCTTCTGGTTGACCTCTCTTCTGTTGCCTTGGGGTTGCCATAGCAGGCTTGTTGGAAAAGACTGTTGTCCAGCATTCTCAGAAAATCCATTTTCTCTTCTGTACTGTTTGCTTAGCTGTTAGTAATTGTTTGCTACAGGATCTCGGTATACTTTCTTCCAGCTGGCCACCTTACTCTGATTATCTGGCTCAAGCATATGCACTGAAAGCTATTTAACTTGGATACTCTTCCATAACCCCAAACTGTAGAGGAGTATGCTTGCCTTACCTACTTGAGTCATTGTATCATATATAGTCACTTGAATTATGAAAGGCGCTGCCTAGGTAAGTTACAGTCATCAACAATATTCAAAACTTGTTCCATATTAACTTTTATCTTTTCAGATTTTGATTTGCTGATTATAAGACTTAATTGTTTAACACTTTTAACTGGGGGGCAACCTTTTTGGCAGACATGCCACAAATTAAACCCTGCACACTCCCTGTTTGCCACTCAAATCCCCTTCCCCTACCTGATCTGTTGCTCTGCTTTCTGCTCCCTGTCTTGTGCTTCCTGCCTGGTCTGCTGTTCTGCTCCAAGCTCTGTGTTCCGGGCCTAATCTACTGTGCTCCCTGCCCAGTCTGCTATTTTACTACACATACAGGCTGTCTGTACCACTTGTGGCACAGGTTGGCCACCCTGAACCAAACTTGGTTGTTTGCTGCATTTTGTTTATTGATATATTCAGGAGGCCAATAGCATCAATAAAGTCCAGATATTCACATACTTTATTTACCCATCAAATTCCAATTTCCATGCCTGAAGGGGACAAAAAACTTGCAAAGATGCTAGAAGAGACATAGTCCTAACATCTATCCCAGGACACAGTGGATTGGGGGAGCTAGTCTACTATCTGCCCTCAGCCATACAACATACTGAGCTAGTGAGGCCTAAGAAGGTAAGAACCAGGTTGTGGGTAGTTAATGCTTCTTTGTAGATGTATGAAACCTGTTGAGGCATCCATAGTTGTTTGGTAGCACCTATATCAGGGGCGGGCAATTATTTTGGGCGGAGGGCCACTTACTGAGTTTGGCAAGCCATACATGACAGGCAGCCAGGGGCAGATAAATATTAATTTTCTTAATTTTTTTTAGGGGCCCTGCAGGCTGGATAGAATGGCCTGGCGGGCTGCATCCAGCCCCCAGGCCACATTTTGCCCACCCCTGACCTATATGAAGCTAAACAGATCCTGTTCTAAATCTTAAAGTATTGCAGATTTATCATCGCTGATTTTGAGAGGTATTTTGACTGTTCTGACAATTTCTCCATGTTGTATCATTGTAATATAATAGCATGATGTATAAATGTCCAATAAAATATAAGGCAGTAATATGAAAAATGTGAGACGGGTTTATTTTTAAGAGGAACCATGATGCACTGCTTTATTCATGGTACTACCAAATCATACTATTCTAACTAAATGTATGTTGAGTCTTTGCATGGTTACCAGCGATCCTGGTTTTCTCTGTTTAAAAAATGCAAAATCTCTGATAACAACCCCCAAATATGCAATAAAAATGAAACATCACTATGTGCGTGTGTGTGTGTGTGTATGTATGTGTAAGTATGTGTGTGTGTGTGTGTATATGTATCAATTGAACACCAATGTTTTATTGATATATTTCCAATTTTAAAGCAGTTTGGAAGCCTACCAATGCCTCAGTCACCATAATAAAATAAATTCTGTATACCTAGAAATTTTGGTATTTGATTTTGGGTTTTTTATCATGGAAAATCAGAGCTCCCCCTACCCCCCACTCACCAAGATGCAGATCTAGGCCTCTCATTCCCAAGCCACAGCCCTCAGCTCTCCTGGTGACCCTCGCCCCCCCATCTACAGCCCCCTGCCTTCCCCAGCCTTGCTGGAGGAGGCCTCCAGCTCCTAGGGCTACGGAACCAGAGACCCAGGTCTGCAGCCCCATGCCTCTGACAGCAGTGCCTGATCCCTAGGTGCCATGGGCCGGGGGGCTGGTGGCTGCTGCAGCCCAAGAGGGAAGCAGAGCACAGAGCCTAGCTCCCCTTGTCCTGAGGGCAGCACAGCCAGAGTGGAAGCCTGTGGGGAGGGAAGCTGCTGGCTCAGGGCTCCCTGCCCTGCTGTCCTTCCCTGGGCCTTCTGCAGCCCAGCAGGTGGGACCAGCATGACAGGGCAAAGCAAGGCCAGGCAGGGAAACTCCTTGCTGCCACTGCGAGCCCTGTGCCACCCTGGTGAGTTGCCCCCTGCCTGCCCAGCAGCAAGGGGCACAACCCCATACTGCCACCCTCACTGCTGCCAGGGCAGTGCAGGGCTCACACCAACAAGGAGCTTCCCCACCCGGCCCCACTCTGCCCTGCCGTACTGGGTCCTGCTTGCTGGGCTGCAGAAGCCCCAGGGGAGGGCAGCAGGGCAGGGAGCCTGAGCCAGCAGCAGGCAGCCCACCCCACCCCACCCCACCTGACACCATGCACAGATCTGGGGGACATGTGCCCTGCCTACCCCACAGGTGTGTGGGCAGTGGCAGGGAGCAGCCCCAAACCCTTTCACCCCTCTGACAAGCCACCTGTGGCACCGTCCTGAGGCCACACATTCTGGGCCCAGGCCCCAGGCACTGCCTGGCGAGACAGTAGCCCCAGCTCCAGCCCCAACTCTGCCCAACTCCCTCCCTCACTATGGGGATCTTAATTCCACCCCACTCTCCAGATTTACTGGTGGGAGCTGCTCTCCAGCCTGCCTGGTGGCCATGTGCATGTACATGCATCTGGCACCCTCTGCCTGACTGCTCTCCTCCGCTTTCCCCCAACCCCTTGCTGGCTGGAACTCTGCCTGCCTACAGAGAGCTCTTTGCAAAAGTGGAGAATCTACATGTTTGTCTGTTAAAATGAGAAATCCTCATTTTTCTCAGTTAAAAGGGGAAATCTGTATTTTTCCATGAGAAACAGAAAAGCAGGATCCCTGATGATTACTCTTTACAAGCACGTTCTGAATTTGATCAGATGTTTCTGGCTGGATAATGGGATCTGAGACATCAAATAGGGGTTGTCCCTTGAAACTTGATCTGGAAATCACCTTAATGTCAGTACATCACTATGTAATAGAGGAGGCAGGTGTTTGATGGATCATATTTTATCCGCTTAAGTGACTAACTGAGGTGCTGAGCATCCTTAATTTTCATTAAAGTCAATGGAATTTGAGCAGGCTCATCATTTCTAAGGAAACATTCAGCATCTGTCATGATCAGGTATTTGGTTGGGAGAGCAGACTTTGAAGAACAGCTGGAAAAATGCATTGGTTTTGACACTGATAATCAAAAAATTGTATAAAAATAACCTAAAAGACACATCCATAGCATGTTGTGGTGGCTGGGGCCCTAGCATCTGTTAAGCCTTTATAGGCAACCCCCGCTTAGCACTCTTAATTGGTTCCAGAAAAAACGAGTGCTAAGCAAAACCACACTAAGCAAAATCCATTTCCCCATAGAAATGAATGGAGATGGAGATTAATTGGTTACTGCCTGCCTCACCACCACCTCTCCCCACTCCCCTATCCACCTGCTGGCACTCCAGCCCCACATACGAGCCTAGGCCTGTGCTCCTGCTGCCCCAATCTGGGCCCTTGCCACTCCCAGCCCTGGACGCTGGCACAGGTCCCACATTCATGCTCAGCCCCGCCTCGCTGCTTCTCATTGCTGCCGCCTCTCCCCTCCCCCCTTGCCTGCCTGCCGGCCTCTCTGGCCCCACTTGCCAGTCCAGGCACTGGCACTACTGCTGCCCCACTCTGGGCACAGGCCCCTGCCGCCGGGTACCAACGCAGGCCCTGCTCTTCTGCCACCTCACTCTAGGTACAGGCCCCAGGCACTGGTGCGGACCTCACGCTACTTGCCTCTTTAGCCGCCACTTTCCTGCCCCGCAACTGCTCCAGCCCAGGCACCAATGCTCCTGCCGCCTTGGTCTGGGTGTGGGCTTCCACTGGTCCTAGCACAGGCCCCACTCACCAGTGCAGGCCCTATGCTCCTGCCCCCCAGCCTGGGTGCAGGCCCCTGCTGGCCCTGGCCCTGGGCACCAGCTTGGGTCCTGCACTCCTTCCCTCTTCTGCAGCCACTTGTCTCCACCCCAACCCCCAGCCTGCTCTGGCACCACGTGTCAGCCTGGGCCCACACTTCTGCCATTGTGCCCTGGACCCTCATGCCTGCACGCCCACTCATTCACCTCCCACTCACTGCTGCTGCCGCTGCTGCCACCACCGCTTTTCCCTGCCCGCCTGTGCCAAAACTCCGATTCCACTGAGCACTACAGCGAAACTGGCTGAAAACTTAGCAGAATCAGGTATCAATTCTAAATGAGCGCTATAGCGAAATAGCACTAACTGAAACCACGTTAAGCGGGGTAGCCTGTAGTTGATTTTTTGCAAATGTTACCTAAAATAAAAAAGTGACTACTAATATTGGCAGGAAGTATGCAAATCAATTTATACAAGGAGTTAAGATGGACTGTGAACAACCCAGCTCAAAATCTGTTGAAAAATATGATTAATATACTTCCCTCAACAATCCAGAAAATAAATCACAATTTTCACTAATGCACTGAATTGTTGAAAATCTGAGCTTCCCCCACCCAATCTTCTACAGCCTACGTACAGGAAAACCCACCTGCTTTTTGGTTTCTAAAAGGCCTCAAACTTTAGTGGGAAGATAGTGTATCTGTATTCAAAATACTATAGTCCAGTCATCAACACTTAGTTAATTATTAAGCCTATGTATGTGATCAGAATACCTGACTCTGCAAATTGTGGAACCTGGCTCACTTCTGCTCAAGGAGAGACTGAAACCAGAGGGAAAATGGATTCACAGGTTTATTTTTCAATGTTTTGTTAGGCTTAGTAAATGTAGAGTGGATGTATCTATTAAATGCATGTCAACCCAATTTGCATCATTTTAATATGTTCTAGATTTACTCTTTTCTAGCATTCTGGAATTTTTAGATAAGATGATTTTTCTGCTGGTAATTTCATTTTTAACGAGTCTACAGAGTGAAAAGGTGCTTTCGAAGTGGAAAAAGTGTGGTGATCAGGAATGTGCAAGTAAGTATAAACATGTTGTTTCTTAGTGAATGTTGTGACCATATACAATCATTACAAATCACAATGTAGAAGACTGCAATTTGAAAAACAATGTGGAAAGTCTAAATGCTTTAATTCATTGTTGTTGAAGTATTAGTTTTATGAGTGGTTAACCTATATGTATTTTTTTTTAAAAAGGAGAAATATATGTTATACAAATATGTTAAAGGTCAAAGTTCAGCAGATGTACTTATTACCATTATACTCAAAGCTTGGAGCTAAGAGTTTTCCACGAGTCTTGGCCATATAGTGAACTTTAAGCAGTCTTACATTTTTCAAAATAATTTTTCTCTGAATACAAATTTTTTTTTGAAAATTCTGATAGATACATCTGTAAATGGAGAATAAATATAAAAATTATGCAGGAGGCAAGAATTTCTTAGGGAAATACTATTTATTGGACCAACCATGTAGCTGGGATAAAGTTAAACAAACTTTTGAATTTAAGACATTCTTTGCCAGGTCTCCAATCACAAGAAGCTATGCAATAATCATATTTAGAGAACACTCATGGCCCAGGTCAGCAAAATGTTTTTACTTGATTTTCACATTATAAGACAACTTTGCATTTCAGTTTTTTCAGTCTTTCTTGTCAGAGACATTGCCAGTGTATCCTTCTTTGTTATCCCTGCTATGACATGAATTGCAGGTAAAAACTGTTTTAGAAATAGGGCAGAAAAACTTAAAATTTGGGGGGAGAAAGTATGCATAGAGGATTATGCAGGAGATTCTAAGGCTTGCCACGGCATCAGAAATAGGCAGAGGTACAAAATGGATAATTTATAGAAAAGCCACCTCTCTCATTATCATTGTGAAACCTATCTTAGTCGCATTTAACCTGGAGCCAGTTCTTTGCTGTCTCCTAGTTAAACATACCCAGATTTTTTAACTTTCTTAGCTGAGAGCCTAGCCACCTTGTTAAGCAAGCTGAGATTTGTAAAAACAGGTCCCAATCAAGCTGTACTCTGCAAAGTAGATCTTCACATATGTGTGAAGGCCCACTAACTTCAATGGCATCCATACAGTAATAGGTTTTGGCATATGCCGAGCAGCTGGTAAGATTTTTGCCTTTGACTTCTATGGAAACAGAATTACATGAATATTTTAGTTCGTGAAGCTTTCTATGTGAATATATACTTATAGTGATACCATCATAAAATATATTTTATTCATATATTAACAAATTTAATGTTTTTCTAAATATTTTTCATGTTCACTTTTCAGTGTGCTGAATTGTTTAAGAGTTGTTATAGTTATATTTTGCTCTCTTTTTACATATATTCAGCTGCAATGAGCAGAGTCCAAGCAACTAAAGACTACACAGGACTTGACTGCCGGTATCTGAACTTCAAAGCTGGAGAAGAGATCATTGTGTACTCCAAACTTTCAAGAAAGCAGACAAATTTGTGGGTAGGAAGTGTAAGTATTTTATTTTGAATGAATTTTACCATAACTAACCCAAACAAATAATATCTGGAATATTTTGGCATGTGTCCCATTTAGCATCACCCTCCCACTGATGATCTAAGGCTTTGTCTGTGATAAACTTAGGGTGTATATAGACTGTATCCCCAGCATGGCAACAGAAGGACTTCCTTGTCTCATTTCTAGGTTTGGCATGTATAAGCGGTAACAAGTAGGTTGGGTGTGCTCTAAAGTGTCCCCCCACCTCTCCCCCCCCAAAGGACACTGGGTACATCATATAAACATACCCTACTATTTCTGTCTCTGTGTTCCCAAACATGCTGGATCATCCTCAGAACCAGCCAGCATTCAGGGCCAGTCTGTGTCTGGTGTAGGTACCACACAGTGTGTACCCTGGACTGACCTCCTGTGTTGCATACAGCACCCACTGCACACCAGACCAGCTCCACACAGGTCAGCCCAAGATCCACAGGCCAGATCATAGGGCTCCACAGGCTGGATCTAGCCTGCTGGCCATATGTTTGACACTTCTGATATAATTAAAAGACAGGTGGAATAGACAAATTCCTAGAGTATAGGATCATAGGAAAGTAGGGCTGAAGGGAGCATGTGAGATCATATAATCCAGCTGCTGCTCAAGGCAGGATCTCCTCAGGTACAGCATCCCAATCAAGTGTCTGATCTGGGTTCTGTTCTCATCTCAGTCACTTCCAATGTGACTTTATGCACTTTTCACTTTATATAAAGGGGATTAATAATCTGCCTCATAAAGATGCTGATGAACCTTAATTAGCTAATGTTCAAAAAGTAGTGTAAGGCCTTGAGTGGGGGCCTATATGATCTCATGGTCCTTTAAGCCCTGCTTTCCTATGATCCTATGCTTGTTAGTCTACTATGTGTTATACGGAAAACTTCTCATCCCTGGTAGTGCCCTCAAACACACTATGCTGGATAGGTTGCCTCCTACATCAGAATTTGTGTAGTCATATCCAAGCTAATTAAAACAAGGCATTATTTAGCCTGGTAAAGTTCTGCAGAGAAAGCAGCTAGTTTAGGACAGTTAAAGCATAGTTTTAAGTTAAAGCAAAACTCCCATAGAAGCTATCAAGCATTTCTCCTGGCACTGTCACCAGAACAGCTAACTGGTTAAGGATAGGACAGAGGGGGCAGGCGCCGGGGCAGGGCAGGGCAGCAGCTGTTAAATTCTAATTGTTGTGTGTGAATGAGCTGAGAAAATGGATTGAAAACAAATATGTTAAGGTTGCTCCAAATGTAATGCTGCTTTATCTAAATGTAGGTGTATTCACACCTTAAGTCATTGGACTTAAGACACCCTGGATATGTGCCTGAATTTGCTCCATTCCAATTTCTGGTAAATCCCTTTAAGTAGAGCAGAATTATGCAAAGTGTGGGGCATGCTTCCCTGGGGAGATGCAAAAGGTTCTTAGGTGGGGCACATGCAAATCATAGCCACCAGTTGTCATTGACTGCCACTATGGGGAAACAGTAGTGGCAGCTGAAGTATGGAAAGTATGACTGTGATTGGCCCTACTACTGTGGGGTGTAAACCAATAAAGCTTAGGAAAAGTTGTCAGTAGAGCATGGCCATCCACTCATGTCTAGGGCTTGTTTCTCTATTAAGCACAGTTTGGTCATGTCTCTGCATATAATCTCTGACCATCTAGTTACTGGTTGGCCTTGAGGTCAGACTGACCTAGTCATTAATTGGCGTCTAAATTGAACTGAACTTAGCTATGTTTGCATCATTTTCTTCGGCAATCTGTTATTTATCTTTTGCAGTGTTCCCACCATCACAATCTTTTTGAATGTAACCAACCTCACACCTTGATTTCACATCCTTTTTTCTAATGTTTATTTTGTTTTGAAAATTATTCCAGTTTATACCTGCTGTCTTTAAAATGTTCTCTACTGCCTGCAGCCTTCTGATGCCTGTTTCATTTACTTCAGCTACTTTGAGCCCATATAATAATACTGTTAGTATACTGATTTGATTAATTTACCCTTTGATAACAACCATAATGCTTTTATCAGTCCTCAATTTTGTCAATTTCTGTGCTGCACTTATAACAAAGATGCATCCCTTTTTAACTTATTCTTGATGGGACTATCAGCACGTATGAAGATTCCTAGGTATAAATAAGAATCTACTCATTCTGTAATTTTAACACTTGGGCACTTCAGTACTTCAACAGTTGTTTCTTTTCTTAGACACAACCACTTATTCTTCTTGCCACTTGTTGCAAGTCCAAGCTTATTACACTGCTTTCAAAGGTAGAAAATAGTATATCAGTAACACAAATGTGTTCTGTGACATGTTATGTGATGTCATTTGCATTTGCATCATTGAATGCACTTAACTCTACATCACCCAATGTCAAACCCTCCAATTACCTCACATTCTTAATATCAAATGGTGGCCACAGTGGTGGCAGTCCCTTGAGGTGAGGATAACCATCTTCCAGTATATAGAGAAGTCATTGGCGAGTCTGTAAATGACTGAGAGGGCCAATCTGAGTTCTGCATGTTTGACTGCAGTTGTGGCCAATAGTTCTGGAAGGAAGGATTAGATCCTGGTGATACTGAGTCACAGCCCTTTCCATTTTTCTCTCTCATCTCTCTCCCTCCAAAGTAAGGCAGGCTTGCTCAAAATGATTGATGCCTTATCATACATCATGGTGTCACTGGGGACACTTCAGTGCTTGAGTCTCCCAGGTACTGATGTTAGCATCACATTTTTTCAGATTGGCCTTCAAGTTATCCTTGAATCTCTTCTTTTGCCCACCTCTAGAGCAGTAACCATTGGAGTATAGAACCTGTTTTGGGAGCTGGTTGTCAGTCATCTTTATGACATGTCCTGTCCAACGGAACTGGTGCCATATAAACCTGGCTTCAATGGTGATGCTGTTTACTTGAGCCAGAACACTGGTGTTCATTCTTCTATCCTTCCAGCTGATATAGAGGATATTCACTGATGGTAACATTCCAAAGCTTTCAGGTGTTTCCAACATGTTGTCCAGGTTTCACATCCATACAACAAGGCATGGATGACAGCAGCCTGAAAGATGAGAACTTTGGTTTGGGTCCTGATGTCTTAATCATTGAAGAGATCAGTTTCAGAGATGTCTGGCAGCACTGGCAGATTTTATCCAGTGTTGAATATTAATGTCTATGTTTACTTTTTGGAAATGGTGACTACCCAGCTAGGGGCAATGCTCAACATTCTTCAAGGATTGCTGTCTAATTGTAATATATGTGAAGGAGCATCACGTTGGTTTGGAGTGGGATGGTAAAGGATCTTAATCAAAAGTGACCTGGAGCTCTTTAATACAGTGGGCACACATGACACAATCATCAGTAAGGGAGGTGTTGATTATCCTGGATTTTTTGTCCATGCGATACTGCATGCTGACTCCAGCTGGAAGTCTGTCAGCAATGAGATGCAGAATAATACGATGTAGTTGGAGAAGAGTGTTGGTGCAATCACTCATCCTAGATTGACTCCAGTTCTAATAGTGAGGGAGATTGTTTCTGAGCCATTGCCTGGGACAGTTGCTGTCATGTCATTGTGAAAAAGTCTCATAATAGTAACAAATTTTGGCAGCCATCCAAATCTCTACAGGACCTTTCATAGAGCCTCTCTGTTAATTGAATCCAAGGCCTTAGTCAGGTTAATGAAGGCCATATAAAGATATCAGTGTTGCTCTCAGCACTTTTCAAAAGACAGTGGAGCTGTCTTTAAAGAGTATATTGCCATTTTTGGACCTCAGAGAGATGGTTTCTTGTGTTCTTGGCCCATAGATAGCTTTGATTGCGGTGAAGAAACTGTATATCACTCTTCCCAACACTTGTTTTTTGATCTATTTTTTCCTCCACATCTTGGCTTTAATGTGGTGATGAATATCTTGTTTCTGTTTGGATTTGATGTCATTTTGCCAGGCTTTGAAGGCTCTCCTTTTTTGTCAATGACAGCCTAAGTTTTCTGTCATTCTCATCAAATAAGTCCTAATGTTCTTTGTAGCGAAGATAGCTTGTGCCTAGATATTCTTCATACACATCATGGATACCTTTCTTGAGGCTTTCCCAGTGATCAGCGGTGTTAGGATTGTCAGGGAGGATGGGAAGGTTCTCACAGAGGCACTGCTTGAGAACTGGTTTTAGCAGGGCCTTTCAAGCACTTGATATTGAACTCCTTGCCTGGTTGCTTGTTTGGTTTACAAGTTTTGGGGTAACAAAAATGGACCAGATGGAACATATCAAATGATGATCCATCCAGAAGTCATCTGTGCTGGTCATAGCTCTGGATGTTGCAATGGTCCTAGGCATGCACTGTATGATGTAATCAATCAGGTGCCAGTGTTCTGAGCAGAGGTGCACCTATGATGTCTTCCATTTGTTGCTTTGGTGGAACAAGGAATTCTTAGAAAATATAAGAATGTGGAAAAAGCAACAATGGTATTGTTCTTCCTTGTCTTACACCTAACATCCTGAAGGAATCTATTTTGAAACACCTAGAGGAGAACATCCATTGCTGTCCCCCAACCACAGAGCCTGTCACCTTATCATAGGAGTAAATCAAATTGGTCAGGTATGACTTGCTTTTGGTGAATCCACAAAAAAGTGATTTGGAATAGCCAGCGTGGATTCACCAAGTCATGCCTGACTAACTTTCCTTCTATAAGGTGACAGGCCCTGTGACTGTGGGGTGAGCAGTGGATGTGATAAACTTTGCTAAAGTTAGGATATTTGACACTATCTCCCACAAAATTCTCATTAATGAGCCAAGGAAATACAGCCTAGATGAAAGTAGTTTAAGGTGGATACATAATTGGTTTAGATCACTGTGTTCAATGTTCAATGGCTCAATGTCTAGCTGGGAGGAGGTATCAAGTGCAGTTCCTTAGGTGTGTGTCCAGTATTGTTTAATACCTTCACTAGGGATTTGGATGATGGGATTGAGTACCTGCTTAGCAAATATGTGGATGATACCAGGTTGGGTAGAGTTGCAGACATTCAGGAGGGTAGGGCTAGGATCCAGAATGACATGGGTAAATTGGAGAAACAGTTAAAAATCAATTAGATGAAATTCACCAAGAACCTGGTGGTTACAATAGACCATAAACTGAATTTGAGCCAGCAGTTTGCTTTGGAAGCAAGGGGGGAAAAAAACAATAGCATCCTTGGTTGCATTAATAGGTGCATCTCCTGCAAACCAAGGGAAACGATTCTTCTGTTCTATTTGGCACTGGTGAGGTCTCACCTGGAGTACTGTACCTAGTTTTGGGCCCCACACTTTAAGAAAGATGTGGACAGATTGGAGAATCCAGCAGAGAGCAATAAAAATGGCCTGGGAAACATGACTTATGAAGGCTGGAACAACCAGGGTTATTTACAGAGGCACAGGAGGTTAGTTCTGCATCTGGGCAGCCGCAATACACAAGGCAGCACTGGCTGCTGCTGTGCTGACAGTTGTGGCTGCTTTTGTGCCCCATAAAAGGGCAGCACCCAAGGCTGCTACCCCAGCTCTCCACCCTGTTACATTATTGGTTATTTAGTCTGGAGAAGAGAATACTGAGGAGGATTGGATAGCATTCTTCAAATGCTTAAAGAGTGATTATAAAGAGGATAGAGAGCCTTTTCTCTGTAGTGTAGGAGACAGAATTAGGAGCAATGGCCTCAAACTATAGCAAAGGAAAGTTAAATTGGAGATCTGGAAAACTTTCCAACTATGAAGGTGGTTAAATATTGGAACAGGCAACCTAGAGAAGTTGTGGTCTCTCTATCCATGCAAATTTTCAAGAGCAGGTTAGACAGACACTTGACAAGGATGGTTTAATCAGGGATGATCCTGCCTTGAGTAGCTGGCTGGATTAGATGACTTTCGGAGGTCCCTTCCAGCCTTGCTTTCCTGTGATCCTAGCATTGGCTTAAATTAGTTGACAAATTTTCCACCAATTCTTTTGCCACTGTAGAAATCTCAGTACATAGCTTTTATAAGTGCATTATTTTATCAGGAATTACATGTGATTTGACTGCTTCCCTTAATGCTTCCCTCCAAACTGAATCAAATGCCTTTGTAATGTTGATGAAAGTGACATACATCTCCCATCCTCTTCTTTCCAAAACTTTTGTTTTTGCTTGTAATGTTTTTGTGTAATGCTTTTATTCTTTCTGCTTTTTTACATCTGTTTCATTGCTTATCAGCTTTTCCTTGTTCATGTGTCTGCTAGTATCTTACTCCACTTTGTTTTTATTGCTGCTTCAAATATTTTCTGTTTGATCTGTATTGATGTTTATTCATTGTCACAAATTCAGGATTTAAAATATCCTCCAAGTGTCACTTTGCATACCTCCTTCATGGAGCCGTCCTTTCAAATTTGGTTCCAGTTGCAGCTATTCTTTTTTTTTAACACATTGTGTTTTCCCATAACTAATTAACTTAATGTATGATCACTTCCATAGATTTAAGTGCAGTCTGTACAATAAAGGTGCCTATACATATACTCCGGGGGAAGTGGGGGAGAAGGCACCTTCCATGTCTTATATATTCAGTGCCCTGTGTTTCATAATGGTGGCGGGGGCGCTGTAACTAAAGCTTGTTTAGTGATCTTTAGTTAAAATGCTCCCACCACCATTTTGAAATACAGGCTGCTGAATACATGGGACACTGAAGAACATGTCTGAGCATATGTAAAAGTGCCTTAACTGTCTGTGCCTTTTACTAACGATAATGTGGTCAATCTGATAAACTCCATAGAACCATGTACATCATGAGAAAACCAACTACTGCAAATAATTAGATTATGCATATCATGGCAGGTTCTTAATTTTCCCCCACTATCAGCTGCTGTCCTGACATTGTGGGGTCTAACAATATTAATTTGCTTACTATTTTGACTTCCAACCTTTGCATTCATATCTTCTCTTATTGTAATAATATCATAACTGTGCTATCCATCTTTTGATTAAACCCACACCTCTCTTCTGTTGCTGCTGTTTCTGTCAGTGCATAACAGATTATAATCATGCATCCTTTGTTGAATTACTGGTAAAATGACTATAACAATCTGCTCTCACACTGCTTTCCAGCTATTTACTAAGATAACTGTCTTCTTGTCCATGGCTAAAATGACTCCATCTCTGTGCTTCATTTCTCTGCTTGAATGACAAGAATAAAAAGAAGTGTAATTTCCAACCATCATCTTTCTTTTGAAACCTGCTTATTTATTTCCTGCACAAAAACAAGGGAAATTTGTCATCTCTTTAAACCTTAGTTAAGAAATTAAATTATAAATTTTATAGGTAGAGAATTACTTTAGAAGAAGCCTACATGATCATTATGTGTTGGCTTCAATAATATTTAAATAAACAAGCCCCAAAATTAACATTCTTCTTTTGTTATGGGTTTAGTAGTTTAAATTACCAGGGAATCCTATACATACCAGTGACATTGATTATAATACATTTTACAAATACAAATAGCTCTGTGTCAGATTCTTGTCAGAGAAATGATTTAGGACTGGTAGTAGTTACTCAGGTTGTCCACTAATATTATGTAGATATGATACAGTGAAGTATTTGGTTTTTCATTCATTATTAGTGCATGATTTTGCTCCCATTTATATCAGTGGGAGCTTGGCTACTGATTTCAGTGGGAGCTAGAGAAGATGGTTATTGCATATAGTATCACCTCAGTTGAAGCTGTGTTAGAACTAGGGGTGTGCGAAACAGGCTGTATTCGATTTGGATTCAGATTTGTCCCAAACTGGGGACAATGATTCGATTCATTGATTCAGATCACTGTCCCAATTTGACTGAATCTGAAGATTTGATGCTGATTCGGATCTCGAGGTACCAGGCATGGCTTGGGAATGATGCAATAGTGGGGCAAATGGGCATCCCAACCCTGCGTGCTCGGTGGTGAACACAGAAGTGGACCAGAAGTAGTTCCGGTTTACTTCCAGATCTGCTGCCTAGTGTGCAGGGGGGGCGGGCCACGCCTCCTAGCTCAGCGATCGACTGTAGGGGGACCCCAGTTCCCGCCCCCCTCAGACCTAGGTGGCACCAGTTGCCGAGCTGATCGGGGAGGGGGGACCAGTGCGCTCCCCACACTCCTGTGAGATGCTCCATCTGCCCCACCATCTCAGTGTTCATCAGTCGCCTAGTACCTTGAGGTATGTAGAAAAAACATAAAGCTGTATCAATGTCTGAATCATCGAATCAGTGGCAATGCATACGGGGTGTACAGGGGCACACGTGCACCCCCTGACTGGCCACACTTGCCGCTTGGGTGATGGGCGGGGGGGCAGGTGGGAGCACCGGTGCACCCACTGCAAGCACTGGCCGATCGCTGCAGCTGCTCTCAGAAGCGGCCGCAGTGATTGGATGTTGTGGGATTGGCTGCATGGGGACTGGTTGCAGAAGGGGGATATGTGCCCCCCTGACCAAGGCGGCACCAATTGCCCATACATCAGATCTCTCCAAATCTATTAAAAGGGTTCCAATTCAATTTGGAAAGTTTAAAGGGTCTCCTGATTTGATTCAGATTTGGAGATTCAGCCACTGAATTGGGCCAAATCTCCACCAAATTGAATCAGCGACCGAAGCTTTGCATAGCTCTAGTTAGAACCTCTATTTTGATACTGCGCTTACCTACTTTTACAGTAAGAATATGTAACATGTAGTGTAAGGTATGTAGGTTCATAAGTTTTATGAAAGGCAGAGATAAAACTTCTTTGTGGAGGAGGAAAAGGGTTTTTACTGACTGAAATTAAAAACAAACACAGGAGGCTCTCTAATCTGGGTGTTTAATTGCAATATCTTAATATGAACACATTATATACATATATATCTATATATATATAGATATAGATATATATAGATATAGATATAGATATAGATTACCAAACACTAAGTACTCTCTTTCCTTTGTGATTGTTATAGAAAGGGAAGGATTTTGGATACTTCCCAAAAGATGCTGTCAAAGTTGATGAAGTATTTATTACACAAGAAGTAGAAGTACCAACTAAGGTAAATTATCATGACCTGTTCTGTCTGTGTACTCTTGAGCAGTTGAAATCATTGGGTAATACGTGAGTAGAATGTCAGGGGTCAGTTCAGGTTTTCTTTGGGGTTGTTCAGTATGTGCTATTTTGTTTTCCTTTCATTAGTGTATTTGTATTGCTCAGATACAAACATCTTATAAAAAGTTTAAATTCACATTATACCCAGTAAACCAGATTAAAGCCAAGAAGAAAATCAGGATTGTCTACATTTCCTCATGGGACTAAGAGGGACAACTCAGACCACTGAATCCACTACAACCGCAATTAACCATGCAAGAAACAATTAGTCCAAAAAGGTTCACAGGAACATTCCCTCCAAATCCTCTGCCCAAAGCGCCCCTTAACAATTCATAAGAAACTTAGGATCTTTAGTAAAATGCCATACCCAAGCCTTAGAAAACACAGCATGCCACCAATGCTGTGAACAGAGCAGGAGAGACCAAAAGCACCACTAATGCCTTGGTCACCTGCAACAGCAGGGTATTTGCTAAATAAACTAAGTCCAGAAAATCCTAAGGAAGAGGCAAGGTCCCAGGCTACGAGGAAAGTAATCACCCTTTCTCTACAATGGCAGTCAATAATTTAGCCTGGCAGAAAATTCCTTCCTGATCCCAAATCTGATGAACCATTTAAATCTGAGCATGTGAATAAGACATACCAATTAGGCATCTAAGAGGTTTTCTCAGTGCTTCTAGGACAGGGGCAGGCAATTATTTCAGGCGGAGGGCCACTTACCAACTTTTGGCAAGCTGTTGAGGGCCACATGGGTAGCCCTGCTCCTTGACAGATGCCCCACCCCTGGTCGCCATCTTGTAACCAGAAGTCCTGCCCCCTAACCCCTGACCTTTGCTGCCAGAAGTCCCTCTCATGGCCCCTGAAAGTACTCCTTTCAGCAAGGGGTTTTGTCATCTCAGAACCAGAAACATACCAAATTATATTCTAAAAAGTGAATATCTACAACATTAATTAATTTGATTTAAAGAAATATTTTTGTGATTGCACAATAATTTAAAATGAAGTCTTACTCTTGTATGTTGTGGGTG